ATGACTATGAAAGTGATAATGAATGGTACCACTAGTATTCTTGAATGTTCTTAATGGTTTTAAAGGTCATATATTGCTCAATGTTCAGTATTTTCGTGCTTTCCAATTAATTTTTATCTCTAAACATAAAACAAGACCTTTTTTTGAGTATGTGTGAGACATGAAATTGTTGACATGGATATTATTTGCTCCTCAAAACATGAATTTTCAATTTTTGTTCAATTTTCAGGAAATTTGTTACTCATTTTTTAGTTTCATAGTGCTATTATTAGGCAAGCCGTGAGAGAGACGGTGCTGTTTGGAACAGTGCGTTCAGCACAACTGAGCAAAAATAAACCAAACAGTCCTGTGCTGATCCTGATGGCTTCCAACCCTGTTGCAGCCTCTGATTCCTGAGGAATGGCAGTGCCTCCCCTCACATGCTGCTTGCACGCTGAGCACACCTTTGTGGTGGGATGCAATGACTGGCAGAACCTGTTCTCCTCAACATCTTCTGGTGTTTATGGCTGGAAACCCATAGGGAAGGTCTGGTTTGCTATTTCTTGAATTTCAAGTGGGTAGGAATACCCTAATTAAAGGTACATACTTTACCTTAAGCTATTGTTTTATATATATTAGATGTGCCTAGTGTATCTGGTTATCTATATATTATACATGTCAGGTAACTACTTCAGATTTGCCTGTGGAACCACTCATTTGCCAGAGGAGGCACAGCTGTCTGCCTTAGGACCTCGAGGTCCTGATTCTGATTTGGTTATCTTATCCCCTTGGGTGGCTGCCTTTTAATTCTGGTCCTTATTTTCCCCATCTGCAGATTAAGACAATATTCTTAACTTTCCCTCATCTCAAGGTCAGAGCCTTGTGCCCTCTATTCCCTTTCTCTACTCCCTTCTAGGTGCCTTGGGCTTTCTTTGTGGGAGAATGGGGAACAGGGGAAGAAGACAGGCAAGGGAAATGAAGTATTTCGGGGTCATACCTCAGAGCAAGGATTGGATGTGGCCAGAGAGTGCATTTGGATGTGGGAGTCAAGCACCACCCCTGTGCCTCATGTGCCCAGGTCACCATGGTCTATGGTGGGCAAGGAGCTGTATTTGGCACTCCTAAATCCCAGGCTGGCTGCCTAGTCTTCCTCTCACTAATATTCCTCTCAGTTAGTAATAAAGAAGTTGAATCAGTGATTTATTGATGAGAGAGAGGCAGTAGTCCCATATCAGCACCTGCTGACACAGTGGACACACATAGTGGCTGATGTTGAGACCATGCAACTGCACCCCAGTCCACCACCTGCATGAACTGCCTTCAGTGGTCTCCTGGCCTGGGGCAACTCTGCAGCAACACAAAGGGATGGGTTTCTTCAGGCCAGATGGAAGCAGAAACATATATTCCCCGACATCCAACTTGGTGCTCAGGTTGTGGGAACATGTGGCTTCTGAAAGGCACCCACACCAACACCTGAACCTCAGTTCACAAGGACAGGGATAGACAGTGAGCAACTGCCAGCACCAGAGATCACTGACTGCTCCTGAAGTCTCCTGTGTTGAGAAATTTTGTTTTTACTTTCCTTAAAAAAAAGGAACCAAACCCTTCCTTCCCATTTTTTTGTAGTTTTCCACATCTGTGAAGGAAAAATCTTTTGGTTTTAGCTATATGTAGTGCTTGTGGGAACATGTGGCTTCTGAAAGGCACCCACACCAACACCTGAACCTCAGTTCACAAGGACAGGGATAGACAGTGAGCAACTGCCAGCACCAGAGATCACTGACTGCTCCTGAAGTCTCCTGTGTTGAGAAATTTTGTTTTTACTTTCCTTAAAAAAAAGGAACCAAACCCTTCCTTCCCATTTTTTTGTAGTTTTCCACATCTGTGAAAGAAAAATCGTTTGGATTTAGCTATATGTAGTTGAGACAGGTAAGCTGCAGTGTTCCAAAGCTCATGGTGAAAATCAGGATAGTTGGCAATACTCGATATTTTTCTCCAGGACTTTGGAATCACACATTAATGTCTCAGTCACAGATTTTATTGAAAAAAACAAACAACAAACCCCCAAACAAACCGAGCAAAACTGTTCTGGTCAGAAAAAAACTAGAACATGGACAAACTGACCAGGAGTCAACATGGACCAAGGGACCAGGAGCCTAGAAAGCTGTGGAAGAGCTTGGACACCATTCAATGAAAAAGTTTGTATTTTCAACCCCAGGTGACAGGGTGAGGAGCAGAAGGTGGGAAGCAGGAGGGGTGGAAAGAAGGTCCTCTTTACTCCTGACACCAAACTGCAGCTTTTCTTCAAGTTCATTGGTAACACCATTGACATGTCGCTGCCTCCTGGGAGCTGTTATTTAGCACAGCAGCCAGTAATTAAACCCTGGGAAGCAAAGGGCTGATTAAGTGAATCTCGGCTACATCTACCGAGGTTGTGCTGCCTGTCACAGGGGACCTGGGGACCCTTAAAACCGGGGTGTCACTATGTGCAGGCCTGCCTGAAGCTGGCGAGATGATGGGGAGAGCCTGGGACCAGCCACTGAGGTGGCACCTTGGGTCCCTGTCCTTGTAGAAGTTGGTGGAGGAGATGATGGTTTTCAACCCAAATCTCCCAGCATTTATTTCCTGCCAGGGGTTTAGCTATATGTAGTTGAGACAGGTAAGCTGCAGTGTTCCAAAGCTCATGGTGAAAATCAGGATAGTTGGCAATACTTGATATTTTTCTCCAGGACTTTGGAATCACACATTAATGTCTCAGTCACGGATTTTATTGAAAAAAAACCAAACAACAAACCCCCAAATAAACTGAGCAAACCTGTTCTGGTCAGAAAAAAACTAGCACATGGACAAACTGACCAGGAGTCAACATGGAACAAGGGACCAGAAGCCTAGAAAGCTGTGGAAGAGCTTGGACACCATTCAATGAAAAAGTTTGTATTTTCAACCCCAGGTGACAGGGTGAGGAGCAGAAGGTGGGAAGCAGGAGGGGTGGAAAGAAGGTCCTCTTTACTCCTGACACCAAACTGCAGCTTTTCTTCAAGTTCATTGGTAACACCATTGACATGTCGCTGCCTCCTGGGAGCTGTTATTTAGCGCAGCAGCCACTAATTAAACCCTGGGAAGCAAAGGGCTGGTTAAGTGAATCTCAGCTACATCTACCGAGGTTGTGCTGCCTGTCACGGGGGACCTGGGGACCCTTAAAACCGGGGTGTCACTATGTGCAGGCCTGCCTGAAGCTGGCGAGATGATGGGGAAAGCCTGGGACCAGCCACTGAGGTGGCACCTTGGGTCCCTGTCCTTGTAGAAGTTGGTGGAGGAGATGATGGTTTTCAACCCAAATCTCCCAGCATTTATTTCCTGCCAGGGGGAAGGCTATTCACACCCACATTCTGTTATGGGAATGGGGTACTTTCCAGCCTCCCCCCCCCAATTTATTTCCTGCCAGGGGGAAGGCTATTCACACCCACATTCTGTTATAGGAATGGGGTACTTGCCAGCCTCCTCCCCCTACTCCAAAGTGTAATTTAGGCAGTTGTTTGTTGTTTTTTTTAACCTGAAGATGTAATTTAGTGGGTTTTTGTTTTTTCCTTGAAGGAAGGAATCACTAGATGGCACTGCATCACTGCAGGACAAGCCACCTCCCTCTCTCCAGGACAGATAAAAGGTATTGCCTACATCTTTATTTTCAGCTGTCTGCTTCAACTCTTCACCAGGGGGAAAAAAAAAAATGGGAAAAAATATAGAAGCTGGTTCTGTGATAATAAAATGTGCTTTAGCACAGTTTCCCTCTCTAGCTTCAGGAGTGCTAGCCCTGAATCATTTGCCTGGGGGACCTTCTGCTTAGAATAATACACTTTTTACATGACTTGATTTTTATATCTTTTTCTTTTAGCCTGTTTCTCTCTACCTGCTGTCGCCAATGCAACAGACTCGGAAGGTTTGGTGGAAAAAAAAGTGGGATTGGATGTTTAGTTTGGCTGAAGACCCTCAAATGTGGGTGTGTTTGGGAATAAAAAATAATAATAATAAATGGATATGCTAAGCTACATGCACATAACTGGCTAATTGAGAGCCATCCACTGACACACAAGGATAGATAGCATTGTTCACTGAGCCGTAGTTGCAATAAATTATTGTTATTATGTGCTGCCAATAACCTTAATCAGAGGCTTGACCAAAATTACCTTCAGCCACCAAGCCTGCAAAATTGGGCTGTCTCATGACTACAGAGTTGATTGCAATAGTTTAACATTTCTATACCTAGTTGGGATCCATGAATCCGCAATTTGAAAAAGAGAATAAACTGATTAAAAAAAAAAAAAAGGTGTTAAAATGCATAAAATGTTTACCTTGGTCTGAAGCCCAAATGAAAAGGTTTTGGTCCTTTCCTATCGGCTCAGCGAATCTTAGTATTTTAATGTTTCTTCGTTCAAGAAACCTTGCCAAGTAGTACCACTTGGAAGGAGTGGGCATTTAAGCTCCTCTTTGCCATCTCAGAGATTCAGTTTTATCATTGTGCTGTTCTCATTAGTAGCTGCTGTAGCTGCAGCACAATTACAGAGGGCAGAAATCTCCTTGTCGGGAGGGAGAATAACCTCTTTAGAAAATTTGCGAGAAATTGCACTGCACACACAAAAAAATGTGACTCTTGGCTTAATGCTGCTTTAATCCGTTTTTGTGTTGCAAGACCATTAAGATGAAAAATATTTGAGTTTTAAAGGTGAAAGTCTTAAAAGGAAAGGTGCCACAACTGTGCCAAATTTCTTCTCTTTCCTTATTAAGGGGGTTGGTTAGGCCAGAGCTGCAGCCTACTGATAAGGAAGGATGAGAGATTAGGGTCATCAAATAATTCATGTTTGTCAGCAGTCACTGGACATAGATTTTTCATAATTATTGTATTATATGTCCCCTTTAAATCCACAAATAGATATTTATTTCTGTGAGATCTCATTGCAGTTGGGGGATGAGATACTTCTGAGTGCTTCAGTCTCTCCATGGCAACTGTAAATGGGTCAAGCACCGGTGCGGGCTGGCACACAACAGCTATGGGAAGCCAGTTCCAGGAGTCTGCCCTCATGGTGCCCTATGTTGTCCTCACCTGGAGCTCCCGTGGATGATGCTTCTGAGGGCAGCAACCAAGAGGTAACATGGAAAAGTTGGTTTTGGTGGTCACTCAACCTTGAACATCTCCTGGATCTGCTACAGGTTCTATCAAAGGCTACGTGTTCAGACACCTGGTGATGCACAGACCCATGCATCAGGTCCATGTGACTTTTGCAGGTACGTTACGATGCTTTTCCAAACTGGTGCAGAGCTTTGTTTCAAGCTGTGTTGCAGACCCACATCCAAGAATGCCTGGGTTAAGGCAGTCTGAGGGAAGTGTTTTGGGGAAAGAGAGGATGGTGGTGAGACTGGGACGTTGTGTGCAAGACAAGGAGGAGAGCTACAGGCACAATGAATGCAGGATCTGTTCAGCTGCAAAATAAACTCATTTTGTGAGTTTTATTCCCATATTGGGATGCAGGGAAGACTCACAGAAGATAGAGATAGGCCAAGGAGCAGCAGCAAGGAGGGGTGTCCTGGTACTTTGGTGCAGGGGTACCTTGGCATTAGGAAGCCCCAAGTGGATCCCACAATTATATGGCTTGTGAGGTTACTTACCTTCCATGTGGATAAGCAATTGCATGGTCTGAAGTTAACATGATTTGGTGCTGCAACTCAAATGGACAAGGTGAAACAAGAATCGGAAATGACCCGGCTTTGCAATATTGAGAGAGTAACTCTAGACTGGTTGTTGAGGGAGAAAAACCAGGCTAAATCTGCTAAAGAGATGAAATGGAGGAGTGCATTAGGGTTTTGTAATAGGGGCACTGAGGGCTATTCCCAATGCCAAAATGCAATTTACATTTCCGAACCCCTGCCTGTAGAAACTGGGGTGAGGAACTCTAAACCTAATCTCTGGTGCCTCAAAGTCTTGTTACAGGATTTTCTCATTCCCACAGCAATCTTGATCATTCAGTGGTGGGAATCTTTCCTCTCTGCTGATCTGTGACATGAGCTGTTATATTTTCTGAATGGTATCTATCATGCAATATGATCAGAAAATGCAAAGAAATTCTTCAGAACAACTGTTTCAGTTGCTGGAGTAAGAAGCATCCTTGTCATTATGCTCTCTGTTTGTACTGGTGTCTGCTGGAGAAACTGATGTCCAGTCAATAGTCCACATTATTAAATCTTGGTCAGGAGTACATCCATTAGGAAGAAGAGACACTAATTATCACTTTGTTGAAGTACAAGTGAGTTTCTATTCACTTCTGGGAAAAAATGCCTCAAACCAATGTTGATCACAGACCTGATGGAGCTATTAACGCACAACCTTCACTTGGAGAAATGATGTTTTTTTCTCTGTGGCCATATTTACATAAAAAAGTAATCCTGTGCAAAAGAAGCAGATGAGTAGACTGGGGCAGATGGAAAATATCTGCCATATCAAAAATTATTAATGATTCAGGTATTTTACTCTGAACTAGATTTAATCTTGTCCCCTGATATCATGATCTCACACATGGTTTGAGGCTGTCTGAAGGACAAGTCACCGATTTAGCCACTTGTCCTCTCCATCATGGACTGGGGTGAGTTTGGTGTTTAGGTGGATGGAGGAGAGCTTTTGGATGAGTTTCCTCCTCAGAGAACCTAGATTGAATGTGCTAAAGCCACTCTGCAAACCCAACTGGCAGGTGGTAAATTGAGACAGTCAGGGTTTCACTTCAACACTGAACTAGAAGGGCATTATGGGAACAACCTGGTGAACCCAGCATAAGTGGGTTGTTTGGGTCAAATGCTTCTGGTGTCTAAATGGAGACTGTTTTGTTCTCAAGTCATTAAAAACTCATCAGGGAACTAGTTCCTTTGTCTGCAATATTGTCTAAATGATCACTTAGCTCACCATGGCAGTTAATCTTTTTTTTTCTTTCTAAAATACATGTCATGACACAATTGTTAGATCATTTGCCCTCAGGATGTTCTTCATACTGTTTTTCTAACCTGTTGGCACAAAACCCCTTCTCTTTTGAGTCCCTAAACACATAGGTGAACTTATCTGAGTCATACATACTCTCTTGTTCTTCAACATCGTGCAGTGATTAGTGTTACTCTTTAATTGAAGAACAGCTAATGACCATTATTTCAAATGCTTACATTCCTTTCAGGTGCAGAACCTGAGATACTTGGAAGCTGACTTTGGAGGGGTGTGTTTGGAGCAGCAACAAAGCCATTGAAATCATTGGGGCAGTACTGCTTTAACCCTTCTGAATGCTATTGACTACTCTAAACTGAGCATATTTATTTAAAAAAAATTAGATCTACAAATGAAAAAATATCTCTTAATTCTATTCAGCATATCGCACCATCACACAGTCCACGGCTGTCTGAGTTTAATTAAATTAACTGGTGTCATTGTTAGTGGAGGAAATGGTGGAAAAAAAAAAAAAAGAACAGCTGGTAGAGAGATCAATGTTAATATTTTCAGTCCAGGGTGGTCACCTTAGCCTAAGAGCTTCTCAGATCACTCCCTCTTCCACGTATACAGCTATATATAGTTGAGAGTTGCTTTAAGATAGCAATTGCTTCACTGCTTCCTCTTACCTAGGATGGCCTCTCCCAGGGTAGGATCAAACGCCCTGAAACTTGGTGACTTTTCATAGAATCATTGAATGCTTAGAGTTGGAAGGGACCTCAAAGGTCATCAAGGTCCAACCCCTCTGCCCTGGGCAGGGACACCTCCCACCAGACCAGGTTGCTCCAAGCCCCATCCAGCCTGGCCTTGAACCCCTCCAGGGATGGGGCAGCCACAGCTTCTCTGGGCAACCTGTTCCAGTGTCTCACCACCCTCACAGCAAAGAATTTCTTCCTGAGATCTCATCTAAAACTCCCCTCTTTCAGTTTGAAACCATTACCCCTCATCCTATCGGTACATTCCCTCATAAAGAGTTCTTCCCCATCTCTCCTTCTATCCTTGATATACTTAGTCTTGTCTCCAGTATCATTTAGAGCATCTCAGAGATGGGACCTGTGCTGTAGTCTAAAGCAGAGTGTGAAGTAGAAACCTGACAGAGAACACCATGTTGTAATCTTTTTCACAGAATGTTCAGCCTTCCTCATAAGCCTTGCTAAATTTTTTCTCCCTAATTTCTGCTGAGTTATTTGAATTTTCCTGGACCTCACTGTTCTGCTGGTTAAGATACCTTCTGTTTTCCAGATTCAATTTATTCAAAGCCTTTTGTTCTTTGGCAACACAATTCATTAGTTTAAATAAATTTTTTCCTCGCCTTTATTTTGCTAGGTTAAAATAAACTAAGTTCTCCTTGTCTCCTTTCACAAAGAAGGTTTTTCCATTCACCTCATTAATTTAGTGCTCACTATGCCCCTTTTGATGCATAGTGGGTTTTGCTGAATGTAGGTTGCTGGAACTTTATACAGCATCGCAGTATCTTGCACAGTGGCAATAATATTAGTACATTTCTACCCTTTTTCTGGGGAAATATCTTTATTTAGGCTTCTCAGCCTGCTTGGTTTTGACATAGATTTTATGGTTACCCAGAGATTAAACATCTAGGCCTTTTATTTTGTCAGTTTTTTCCAAATGCTGCTTCCCCACTGTTATAGCAAGACTGTGATTATTTTATTAGTTTGTATATATTTGTTCTATTTCTTACCCAATTTCTCTTTCTCCAGTCTTCAAGAGCATTCAGTCTTTCTGTGATGATATTCTGGTCCTCCTCCCCATTAGCAGTGATCCCCTGGTTTGTCAGCAGTGCCTCCCAGCTTTGTCAGCTATGAATTTCATTGCACTATTCTTACTTTTTGGTGTCAAGGTCAGTGATAAAAAGAGTTCTACTCCGCAGTGTAGAACATGTAGAGTTGGAGTACATGAGGGCACAAAACCTTCCTCTGGCTTTTCTACATTTGTTTTCATTCCACATAAAAAACTTTGCAATAGATATCAAACAAACATAATTTCTCTTGTCTGCTTGGGGAAATTTAACATAGAACCATCTGTAAGAAGGAAGTTACATAAAAAGGAGATGGCAGAAGTAATGGAGATTTAGATGAGGAGAAATCAGCTCTCATTATGAGGTAATAAGATTGCTTATCTGGCTGTGTATTAGAATGGAGTTCATCAATGAGATTTCTGTTAGTGAAGCTAGATAATGGAATGAACATCATTTTTGTGTCTTTGGAGCTGGTAATTTCCATCCTTAGTGAGTGTATTGCTCATGTGTTTCCAAACATTACACGTATCACAAATAATACACAAACGGAATTCAGCAAAGCAGGAATGACTGATGTGAACATAAAGCAAATCAGAGTCTCTTCAGTTTAGTGAGTCACATCTTGACCAAAAAAGAAGGCAGATGATCAGGACAGCCGGGGATCAGAAAAGCAAATCCTCAGCAATATTTTCTGGCAATTATATATCCTGAGATGCCGGAGTTACCAGCTAAATAGATTGGACACACTGCAATACTGTCTTAAATATGGTTCTCTGGCAGGGTTGTGAACTGTATTGGAAAAAGCGAACTATGGGGACACAGTATCTGATCCTGCAGATGCTTATGGATGAGTATAAGCATTGATTTCTACTGAAGTCAGTCTACTAAGAGCTGCCGGCTTAACTAGGCCAAAGTACATCTAAGTATTTGTGGGGTGGGGAGCCGGCTTTTCTTCAGTGATACCAAATCCTCCTAATGTCCATTAGTGGTCAATGGAAAAAAGTATATGTATTTTTGATGACTGCTGTTCCCTGGCATCATTTCCAGCATACACCTCTGTTGTTTTTTTTTAACTTCCTTTTTATTGCAAGTGATAGCTCTGCTTTTGTAGACCTGGAAGCTACCCTGCAGTACTCTGACAGCAGTCCAGTCTCAAAGTAAAAGCATCAAGTGCATGCTGGCAGCCCAGAAAGCCAAGTGCATCCTGGGCTGCATCAAACAAAGCATGGCCAGCAGGGTGAGGGAGGGGATTCTGCCCCTCTGCTCTCGTGAGACCCCACCTGGAGTGCTGTGTCCAGCTCTGGAGTCAGCACAGGAAGGACCTGCTGGAATGGGTCCAGCTGAGGGCCATAAAAATGATCACAGGTTGAGAGAGTTGGGGTTGGTAAGCCTGGAGAAGAGAAGGCTCTGGGGAGACCTTAGAGCACCTTCCAGTACCTGAAGGGGGCTACAGGAGAGATGGGGAGGAACTCTTTATCTCAGGGACTGTAGTGACAGGATAAGGGCTAG